CGCCGCAGCGGAGGCATGGAGGGCAGCAGAGCAGCCCGTCACCCTGAGCGGGTTTCCCTGCGGCATTTAACCCCACCGCCTTCGCATCCCTTCTCCCCAGCGCTGCTGCGGGCAGGAACACAATGGCAAGGGGCTGAGGGTGGGGAGAGCGGAGGGTAAATGCAGCACTAATCGCCCCCGGGGCTGGGAGACCGCCCTTGCCGACGGAGAGCACGTATGCAGGCGGGATGCTGCGGTGGCCCTGGCCATTCCTGGGGAGTGGGGTTTGCATTTCCAGCATCAACAACCGCAGAAGCAGGAGGAGAGCATGAACTCCACAGGAGGCGAAGCCATGTTTTGCTTGAGCATCCCATAGCCACAGCAGGGAGGAAAACGTGCGGATGGCCAGCTCTCCGGACGGCACTAGGTGACCCAGCACCGTCCCAGATCCCTGGTCCCAGGGAGCAGCACAGCCCCCAGGGCTCACACCCTACAGTTAAGGCAAGACAGGTCTCTGCTTCCCTATCCCAGGTCCCCACAGCACCCTGTAAATTCCCTACGGCAAGCTTGCTTGCAAATGCCTTTCCCTGCCTCCGGCTGTTCTCCCTGGCAGGGGGTCTGGAAGAGCCTCGAGGAGGCAGGAACCTGGCAGCAGGTTGCGGAACAAGAGCAGCAGCAGCAGCTGTCACCTCCCTCCAAGGCGAGCCACATCTCCAGAGCAGAGAGGTTTAACCACTCCTTCCCAAGGACGTTTTCATCAGAGCAAGGTCTGCACCGCTCCGCTCGCTCCCTCATTTTTCCCCTCTGCTTGCGCCATTCCGTCTTCTTTCCATCTCCCGACAGCCCCTCCCCACAAGTGTCCAGCCTCGGGCTGGAGCAGAGCAGAAATCATTACAGGCAGCGTCTACCCTATCTCCACTCTATCGGCAGTCTCCATCAGGGCAAATTAAGGCAAGGAAGGAAAGAGAGAGCGAGAAGAAAGGCTGAAGAACGCCAGCCCCAGAATTGGGAAGGGAAGGCGCCATCCCCTCCACGTTTGCGAGGACGGCTCTTCAGAAGAGGAAGCCAAGAGCAAGTGCAGAGCCCAAAGAAAATGTTTCGCCCTCCCTTACCCCAGGGGAAAGCCGGCAGGGCTGAGCCCGGCCCCATTGCGGGAAGGCGGGATGCACCCGCTGGCTTTGGGTACCGGGTAGCGCAGGCTGGCAGTGATGGGAGCAGAGCCCCAGGAGGCTCAGACCCGGCCAGCATCTCACGGAGGCTGGTCGCGAACTCAACCGGGATTTAACAACCTCCAGGGAGCCACAGAGCAAGGAGAGATCATTTCTGCTTAGTCACAGCTCTTCCAGGACGCACTCTATAAAGGCTGCATTTTCCATCCTCTCCCTGGCTGTTAAGCTTCATAAACAGTTTATCTTGAAATTAGATGCCAGTGGCAAAGTTACATGAATGCAAAACATCTCCCTTGCACCGTAAGCAGAACAAAACCTGCTGGGGCAGACGGAGGTACTGGCTAGCATAGAAGGGAGAGGAAACACAGGAACAACATGATCCCACCACCACCCATCTCTCCAAGGCACCGAACGGGAGCTCAGCCCTGCAATACCCATGGGCACCCAGCCGGGCACGCCACCCTCACCACCCTCCTCCTCCCCCCGGCTGCTCGAAGCTCGGGTCGGCTAGGAAGGAAAAGAAGCAGAGAGCAAAGCATGCCGGGATGACTCACAGAGGGCCGTACCAAACTGAGAAAGTCTGCTCGAATCCACCGTCGTAGCCGGGCTCCCAGGAGACGTTGGCTGAGGTCATGGCGACCACAACGTGCACGCTGGTCGGGGCGTGAGGGCTTGTGCCTGCGGAGAGAGAGGCAGGGGTTGAAGGGGAGCAAGACCACGCGTTGGCCAGCCAAGGGGCTGGAAGCCCTGATTCAAGGAGGCTCCTCTTGCACCAGGCAAAGGCCACCTGGAATTTCTGCTAGAAATAGCTGCATCCACAGGTGGCCAAAATAACAGAACAGGAAAAGGCAGCTGGTAACTAAGATTTAAAGGAGACACTGCTTTTCACGGGAAGCATCCCCTTCTCCTGCCTCGCCGACACACTGCCTGGGGGACCCTAGCCAGGGACCCGCCACCAGCCGTCCCCAAGGATCCGTACCTACGACGGTAAGGTGGGTGCTGGCAGTAATGCTTGCGACGACGTTGGTGGCGACGCACTCCCACTCGCCGTGGTCGTCCTTGCCGAGGGAGCGGATCTGCAGGGTGCCACCGGGCAGCGTGTTGTGCTTGCTCCTGCTGGGCTTCCCTACCTTGGGCAAGGAGCGGGGAGGGGAGCCGGGCAAAGAGAGAAAAAACACGACTCAGAAGCAGGTTGCGGGACAGGGCGAGGCGGCAGCGGGGTCACTAAGCTACCTGCGTGGCCCAGGGGACGCCGCCGGCCACCAGCAAGGAATCTGGTCTCTCCGGTCGTGGCAAGGCAGCCGGTTCCCCCGTTTTCGAGAGGACCTGGCGGGGCAACGCAAGAGGCATGCGTCAGGGAGGCTGATGCTCAGCACTCACACACAAGCGGAAAACCCCACAGCACTCGCACGGACACCGAGCCCTGCGCCAGGGCTCAACCTCTCCAGCATCCAAAGCTGCAACTGCTGCGAGAAAGGTGCACCGGCCACCCCCGGCAAACACCCACCCAGTGCCTGCAGGGGATGCCCAAACTGCCCCTCAGCCTCAGCCAGCGGCAGAGGAGAGGCAGGACCCTTCACGTCGGAGATTTGGGCAGCAAGGACCCCACGGGGACACGGGAGGATGGCGTGCATGGAGGTGCCCGGGACCTCTCAAGCCGAGCGGAAAGATGGATCGTGTAACAACTCATGTCTACGCCCATCAGCCAAAGTTGTGCAAATCCCACGTTGTCCCCAGTCCTCTTCAGCTGTTCTTCACGCAGGGGTCTCTGCCGATCGACACCGGGACCCGTGGTTTGAGGCCACGCAGGATGAGCAGAGGGGCACGTGGGTTTACCAGCGCCAAGCCCAAGTCTTCAGGAGTCCTTCAAGAGACTGGTCAGTGCTGGTGGGCTGACTGGGAGCGAGGGAGCTTGCTTCTGCCACCGGAAAACTGAGCCCAGCCCAAGCCAGTCAGACTGGAGTCGGGGGGAATAAGCCCAGAGTCATGACATGAGGAGAACCGCCAGAAGGCACAAGAGAAAAGAAACCTGAATAAGAAAGGCAGGGGGAGTGGGGAGAGAAATAAGATGGCGAAAAAGGCTAAACAGCCAACATGTTTTAGGCAGGTCGCTTGCAAACTGTGCAAGTCATGGTCCTCCTCGTGCTGGTAAAAGGAACTCAAAGAGATCCAGCATCTCGCACCCCAGGACTCAGGACGGTGCCCCCTGGGCAATGCAAGGACCCCGCTCACTCTGAGGAGCCCTAAAAAGGGGATGGGAGGCTTGGAGAGAAGATCCTGACAGGGGGACAAAGAGCCCCGGAGGTCCCCTGCTCTGTGGCTTTCCTATGGGAGCAGTGAAGGCGGGAAGCGAAGGGAAGGCTGGAGGAGGACTGGAAAGCCCTGGTTGCTCCCAGACTGTGCCACCACGCTGGATCCTACCCTGCTCTACAGAAAGGGACATCCTGAAATCATTATGTCCAGTCCAGCATCACTAAAACAGCTTCTTCCCAGGGTCTTCAAAGTCACGGGGCAGCAAAGCAACTGCTGAGCAGTCCAGCGACCAAATGCATTTTTTCCCGGCCATCCCCCGGTGGCCCGCCCCCCCCCGCCATGGGAGGTCCGGGCTGCAAGAACAGCATCGCCGGGGCTGCCGTGTCCTGCTGGTGACCACCTCGCAGGCAGGGAGGGTGTCCTGCGGGCAGCGCTGGCGAGGAAGAGGAGGGGGGCCTGGGCAGGGGCAGCACTCAGCTTTGCAGATGCTGCCGTGACAGTTTCACAGGATTAAGGTACTCGGTGGCCACAAGCCGGGCTTCCCCCACCCACCTGCGGGACAGGACGGCAGTGGCTCAGCCCAAAGCGAAGCAGCTATACCTGCAGTTTGTTCTTACCGGGACAGAGTGTGGCTTCTCTGTCTGCAATATTCACCAAAAGCCAAAGGCACTGCAGATTTGTCTGGCAGGCCGGGTACCTTTCTCCAGGCGATGATGGGAAAGGGGTCTCCGGCAGCAGCGCAAGGAATCAACAGCTCCCTCCCTGCCTCCTGTCTGTACTCCCAGCCTGGTAGCACCGTGAAATAGGGGGGGTCCTGCAGCCAAGGGAAAAGGCAAGGAGCGTCAACCCGCGCCAACGCCCACGCACGCGAGCGGCTCCCCACAACCAAACCCAGCCCTTTTCCAAAAGAAATGAATCACCGGTTTGGGTAAGGTTGAGGCATTGCAAGGAAAGCTGCGGCGGACAGCGTGCGCTGAGGAGGCTCTACTGTACACCAAATTATACACCCAGAGGGAAGTTTCCTCCAAAGAGCCGCTGCACTAGGGCATCCTGGTTAAGTTTTAAGGAGGTAAACAGGAAAAAAACCACCCACATTGCATCAGACATCAACCTGATTTCATCAACTCCGCAGCCGTCTTAGCAGATGCGTGTGTCTGTGATACACAAAGCGTTATCATGTGAACCTCAGCGAGACACCATGAATCACCGCCGCTCACAAGCGCAGGACTTTTTGTTCAGGGAAGGAAGAGGCAGCGGCTCCCGGCTCCCGCCCCAGCCGTGCCGAGAACCGCAGCAGCAGCCCAGCGTGCCTCGGGCTCCGCATGCGGCAAGAGTATGCAGAGCATCTCCAGAGCTCAAATTTATTAAAATCCTCCATGAACACAAGCCCAGATCAGCAGGGCAAAGTGTTTTGTTGGCAAAAAGGCCATCCTAGGGACACGTTTCCTCAAACTACCCTGGTCCGGCGCTACCAAAGCCTTATACTCATCATACACCGGCTGTGGTCCAGCCTGTGCCAAAACCTGTGCCAAAACCTGTGCCACCGCTCCGGTGGGGTATTTCCAGCTGCGCCAGGCTCGGTGCACTCAGGGTTTGCGTCTCCTGGTGGGAAGTACAACTCCAACCCCAGCACAGACGCACCTTCGTGCTCAAGCCTCTGCTGTTCCCCTTCCAGGATGCTTGCAAGGGCCCACGTTTGCCTTTCTCAGCACAGGTAAGAGACAAGGCTCAGAGCAAGAGGCAATAGGTTTGGTTAAGCCAAGTCACGTAGGTGGAAAAGCGGACAAGTTTGGGGGCACAGAGCCCTTCTTCAGGTCAATTCATAAAGAAGTGCTCAGAAAAGCAATGTAAAACTTCAATTTCTGCACAGAATTAACCACCAAATAAGCAGCATGGAAAAAAAAAAACCACCTCATCCTCCCCTGCAGCGCTGGGCTGAACAAGAAGGCAGAACGAGTGACATGCCCATTGCAAAATCCATATTAAAAAAGCCTAACTACAGCGTAAGATGCCTCCACAAAGCTCCCACACATCCCACTACCTGGCCTGGGACTCCAGCACCCCGCACAACCCCAGGAGCTCTTCTCAGCACGGGACCAGCCCACGGGAGGACACAACCTGCGGTGCCAATCTGCCGGCTGCAGAGCAAGGATTTTAGCAGGCAAGTTACCTTCAGTACCAGTCGGGCAGGGGGAGACTGGCCCATCGTACCCAGGGCGTTATAAGGCACACAGGTGTAAGTGCCGAGAGCATCTTCGGTTGCCTCCTCTATCCGGATCGACCCGTCTTCCAGCAGGTTCCAGCCAGTATACTGCAGCGGTGAGAAAGAGGGAGCTGACTTATCCTACACCCACCACAGCTTATTATTTTCCCTTCAGCCAAGCCCCCCACCTAAGCCCAGGGCGGCTGTCACGTCCCCGGGAGATGCCCAATTCAATTCCCAGCATCCAAGCCATCTCCTCAACTGCAGAGAGAGGAAACGTGGGCGAGATCAGCCCGTTCAAACGCAGCCCTCCCGGGAAGGGCTGCCCTGCTCCGTACGCGCCCAACGACACGCAGGTTTATCTTGCAGCTGCTCTCCTCCATACACACAGCCAGGCTTCCTCAAGTAGCCCGAAAGATTTAACATCAGAATCTATCACATCCTAAGTAAAACTCAGCCTGGTGGCACCAAGGAGACAACTCCACCCAAGGGGCTGAGGGCACCAAGGGCCAGGAACCCATAGCAGCAACAGGTTTAAATGGAATTAAAACTTTGGATCGTTAATATTTAAGCAAAAAAATTTAAAATACTGAGCGTTTTCTTTAAATATTTAATGGCTAATATCCTTGCTCAGACTATCAAACCGTGATTATAGGAAGACAGAGACTTGTTAGAAGAGTCTTTTAACCATCAGTTGCCATTGGGAAAAAAAAAAAAAAACACCAGGGCCATCAGGAGGTCACTTTAGAGGGCAGCAGGCATTAGGTCTGGGAGGCGCAGACAGCGCGTCTACAGGCGCCCTGGGCACCACGCAAGAACCTGAATTAACTCTGCCCACAGCTGATAAGGAAAAGCAGCGTCATCCCACCCACGGGGCTTCTTCTCTCCTGACGGCGGGCTGGACCCGCAGGGTGCCCAGAGATGCTCACTGGCGTCTGCAGAGGACACGAGGGTCCAAACCTCTCCGTGCCCCCACGTGTCCCTCCCTGGGGGCTTCGTTACCTTCTCGACTCGCAGGGGACGTCCGTCTTTGTTCCACTTGACCAGAGTGACCGGGGGCTCTGCCTCGACCGGGCAGCGGATGTATCCGTGTATCCCGATGGGAACATAGATGACGGGGGGCATGTTCACCACGCGGGCAGGATCTGGGAGAGAGGCACCACCGCGTTAGCACGGGGAAGGAGCCCATCTCTCCCCCACCACCTGGCTTCAGAGGATCCACATCACTTTTGTAATGAATTCCAAACCCAAACACCACCTTGGCTCCCACTGGCTGTTATCTCCAGGCTTGCCACACACAAATCCACATGTAATACCTGGCATTTCTGGGAGGCTTTACTCATGCCCAGGGTGTTCCTACCTAGGGCTCATTAAAAGCTGCAGTTAAGAAGAAACATTAAATACGCCTGCTCTCGCATCCACACCGACTCTCACCCCCCCCGCCCCGCGCCCTGCTGAAGCCCCAAGCTGCTCCATCACGCTCAGCCTGCAGGACACGGGCACGGTGTGCTGCACACCCTGCAAGCCACCCCCCCCGCCCTCCAGCCTGGTTTTGCACACCAGCAACGAAAACTAATTCAACTCCCGAGCCTTAAAACACACCAACTGCAGCAACCAAGATGGGAGAAGGGATCCGCAGCCGGGCTGCCGGGAGCCCTTTATCTCCTGTCTCTTTGTACTCGCAGCCCGTGCCTCATCGAGGCTGGGTCGTGTTGAGCATCAGCCACCTCCACCCTTTCCAACGGGATGCAAAAGCTTAAAATATGTACCTAACCCCCCCCGCGCTGCACCACCCACGCAGCGAGGCGTCTCGCAATCCTCCAGTCTAGAATGTGTCATTAACAGTGCTTCTAAGAGCTTTTTAATTAAGTGCGAGTGGGTTGGAGAGAATCTAGACTTTCTTTAATAAGAAGCTTTTTAAAAAAAAAGTTACTTTTAATAAGAAGAGCGAGTATTTCTACAATCTCGTCTAGACACCGGCAGCACGAGGTTACGCAAAAATCCTGACGGGGCTTACGCTGCACTAAGGGATGAATGCGTTCTTTTGGGGTGCAGCATCCCTGCGCTGCTGATGCAAAAACGCAAAGCTGGGGGTAAAGGTAAAGCGTTTAGGGGGAAGGGATGGAGGACAGCAAAAGCTACCAAGTTTGGAAACTTTGCTCCCTCCCTACCGAAACACCTAACCCCAACCACTCCCCGAAACCGCGCGCCCCTGGCAATGGCACCGTAACCCAAATTGCCAAGCGCTGCGTATGGAGCGGGCTTTACCCCCCCTCCGCTTGACTCCACCTCTTAGGAAATGTAATCAAGGGCTTTGGCAGCCCTTGAGGGTAATGGGAT